TTTATTTTCTAATGTTTATCTTGGAATTTCATAGGCAATGATTGGAATCTCAAAAATGTTCACCCACAAAATAATTTTCAATATTTTAACAAGGTTAGTAATATACTGTACAATAAAGTTTTTAATAACACACAACAGATTTAATTTTTGCACAATCAATTTTTAATTTATATTAATATATTTCTATATTTATTCTAGATTTTTGCAATTACAACTGATAATGCAAAAAACAAAAATAAATTTTCATTTCAAAATTACATCCTACCCTTATTTGGCTCACATAATGAATTTAACTACATAATGATATTAAAATACATAAAAGCTGGTGAAGCAACCTTTTATAAAGCTTGATGATCCACATTCAGAAGCTAACATTAAAGAAGCTTCTTTAAAAAGTTTAAGAAGTTATAATATTGAAGGAGAAAATCAATTATAGAAGTAATTTTTAATAGAAGTGGAGATGTCATTTAGTACTATATCAAAGATTGCAATTCAATCTGTGACATTATTAATCAATTAATAGACTCATAATGAAAATGATTTAATCATCAATGTGATCTATATTTTGGTAAACCTAACAATTCACTTAATCTCATATTAGACGTTAAAACTCGATGGAACAATGTGCATTAAAACTTCAAATAGTAAATTAGTGGATTTTAATATTGCAATTAAAATATTAATTTAATAAGACATTATTTATACTCTTTTTCATTATTTATTAGCCCATTAAATACTTGATTATACATTTCAGATAATGAATGGAACATAATTAAAGAACTATGTCATATTTTAGAAATGAGTTTATCATTATAATTCAATAATTATTTAAATCTTCTAATTTAGAAATCTCATCAAAGTAATATATTGCCTCAATTTCAAAAAATGAGAATATTTCTGTTCTAAATTTCTTTAATTATTGCCTTTAATTATTGCCTTTAATTATTGCCATGAAAAAGCTAGTGTTTGCATTTCAGAAAGAAGAATTTACCATCAAGCTTATAAAGTACTGACTCACATAATGTAATAATAAAATTTGTTAAGTTGAAAATTTAGAATTTCGTCAAAACATCACATGAATATTTTAAAAATAATAATAATCATTTATGGAACATATTATATAGAATTATTTTACAATTAAATTTACATGTAAAATTATTTAAAGCCACAGCACATGCAGATGATTTTAATAATAATTATTGAGCTTTTGGATTTTGAGTGGAATCTAAGAATGATGTGAAAGAAAAAAGGGAGAGAGGTGGAGGAAAGGGGATAGAGGAAATAGGAGAGGTGTTATCCTTATCTATTCCCCTTCCTGATCATCTTGAATATTTTGATGAGGGCAATGATAGTTGTTGTAAATCTTTTGAAATACATAACAGTCGTAACACTAATAAAAATGGGATATGAAAAACTTAAAAGTTACTATTAATTAATATTTTATTTTATAACAGACAATATAAATATCTTTTAATTTTCATTTAATTTTATTTAATAGTTTTTATCCACATTTAAAGTTGAATTATTACAAAGGAATTTTACTTTATAATATGTAGGGAAATCAATCGTGACTAAAGTTAGTTTTATATTTTAGTCAGATTACATTGAAAATTATGTGCATAAAATGTATTATATAAATAAGTAAAGATATCAATGAAAAAAATCTAATGAAAAAATGAATAGCAACTATGTGTTAATAATGAAAAAAGATAAGAGGATTAGGATAGATATGAAAGAAAGGGCAGATTGCAAAGAAAAATATAAAAATCAAAAAAAAAACAAAAAATATTAACGAAAAAAAAGGAAAAAACAAAAATTAGTATTAAAAATACATTAAAATTAGTGACCGAGAAAAAATGAACAGTATCCTAAATTCATAAAATGGTTCATGTGCGAGAAAATCCACGCCAAAGAATCCAACTTAGCACTAATAAAGATAAAAAAAATCCAAACAAAAAGCAAGAAAAGGTCATCGGGAGAGACATAATAAATGAAAAACTAATAACAAAAATACACCAGAAGAATGAAGAAAGTATATTTGAAAACAGTTCTATAGTTTTCTTTTTTTCTCAGTTTAAACGAATTCTAGATAGACGGTTAGTTGTAGGGTTATTAATAATTTATTATTAATACCTCTATGTATTTTATTCTATTTGATTTTATAGTTAATAAAATGTGTTACTAATTTTTTCTTTTTTAAAAAAAAAAACTGTTAATATTTAAAATGTTATTGTAGTATAACTTGTACATTTATAAAAACAGTAATATTATATGAATCACGTAAAAATTTTTTACCATTTTTGTTATATTTTATTACAATTATTTAAAAATAAAATAAAAGATATAAAAACTAAATTATTTTACACAAAACATTTCTTTTTTTAAAAAATCCCTTTATTTGATCTTTTCAGATATTTAATGACTTTAAAAAATTTGGTCTCTAATTCTTTTTTCCAGATGGAATATTCATTCTTTGATCGATCTGTCTATCTTTTTCGTGAAATCAAATTTTATTTTCCATCACCTCCTAGGAATGGCAATGTTTTTTTTTAGAGGTTCTACAGTAAAGTATTATTTTTTTCTTTTTTCTTACTAGGAATAAAAATTAAATAAGAGGAGCAGTGTTTTTACAATCAATTAAAATTTTCGTTCTTTTTTGAGAGAATACAACTAAGCAGCAGTAAATTGAAACGAAGAAATATTCTTCTATTATTTAGGATAGTTTTGTTACGAATGCTTTAAGACTCGGCTAACATAGTCTTTTTTAAACATATTGACAAAATAAAACAACGGTTCAGTATTTATAAAATATATATAAGCCCTGTTCAATTCTAGATTGGACCGGATTGATCGCAAAATGTGCCCCTAAATGATTGGTTACAAAAACGATCAGCGGTCAGTCAAACCGATCCACGAAAATAGGTGTTCGCCTCTGATTGATCGATTTTGATAAACTAACGTGACGCGTGTCAGCGATCAACCATATTTATTGTTTATGATATGGAACCTAAAAATTGTGCTCAATTTTAACTGCGGTTTGAACGGTTAATTTTTTTTCCGATCTGAGCGATACGATCTAAAGGTTATAGTATAGAAGACATTTAATGAATTTTCCAACTAGTAAATAATGATAAGAAACCTCCGTTGGATTTATTGGTAATTTAAAACTAAATATCTTTCTCATGTGACCAAACAAGTTCTATAAGCTTGTATGACTTGACATGTATAAATTAGTATAAAGCAATAAATGTATTAATAAACAATTATTACTTTGTGAAAGAAATAAAAATATTGGATGAAAAAAAAAAAAGATTTAATATGTAAATGGGTAAACCTAATAAGCCTAATAAGCCTAATAAGCTAAGCCAATAAATCCATTTGTCAAAGCCACTATGAAAGATTTTATTATATCAAAAACGTGATGCAATCTTGCTGGTATTAAGAAACCAGCAATCTTACATACTTTAACATTGGAAGAATATAAATTTTTATATAATGAAAGATCTTATTTATATTAAAATAAGAACATACGGTATACTTATATACAAAACTATATTGTAAAATTAATTATTGCAATTTCTGATATTAATCTTTTTATTCAAAATAAGCATTAATGCAACCATAATTTATATTTGCTGTAATGAATTTTTTTTCGAAAATCATCAAGCCTAGCCTACGTAGACATAACGTCCTGCGATATATTCCTATATCTATCTAACTTAGACTAACATAACTGACCTGTATTCTTTTTATTTAACTAAAAAACCCACAAAAATATATACGTACATATAGCATAATAAAAAAACAAACAAAACATTGCCTTGTTTAACTATATGTGACATTCAACTGTCTAGGTATACCATCGACGCGAACGAGCCGTACCGAAGGAACACCGAAATGATTTTGGATAAATTTGTTCCGAAACTTTTTGTTTACGAAATTCGAAATTCCGAAATCACCTCATTGCTGTAATGAATAAAACCATCCCTTAAACTATCATTATTATTGGACAATCTAAACCAAATAACAGTTGATGATCTTATACTAACAGAAACATCGCATTAGTAATCAGAGAAACTTTGCATTAGTAATCACAAACAATTTAAGTTTCTTGTATTACGGAACGCTCCATAAATTGGAAATAAAATTCCGTTAACTGACTTGCTCCCTCCAAATTTAACAATAAATAATTCCCTCTTTTTTATTTAAAACAAAAAAGTTGTTTCGTACTATGGGGCTATTCTCCTATGATGAAACTTATGGAAGGTGTGAAGAATGCAATCAAATAAATACCGGTCCTGAATGGTGTAACGCTTGTAATGCGACACGTCTCCAAAAAAATTTCAAGTATTGGACGAGCGGTAACGGTGAGATTGACAAATTTATTCAAGATGCTCAACTATCAGCAAATAAATTCTACAGAATATTAGAATGGATACCATATGAGAGATTTTATGATATTGAATATATTGCAAAGGGCGGGTTCGGTCTAGTATATAAAGCAAAATGGACTGACGGTTATATACAGAGCTGGAATAATGACAAGCAAAATTGGAATAGATGTCATCCATTAAATAAATTTGTAGCTCTGAAAAGTCTAAATAAATCAAAGGATGTCACATTAAAATTTATCGACGAGGTATTATATATAAATTTAATTAAGTTTTGAAATATAACTTTTACTAATATATTATTGTTGTTCTTAGGTTACATCTCATCATAAAATATATAATATATCTACTAGATCCATTGTTACATTTTATGGAATAACTCAAGATCCAGAAACAGAAAATTATATGATGGTTTTGGATTATGCAGAGAATGGAAGTTTACGAAACTATTTAGATAAGAATTATAATAATTTAACATGGAATGATAAGATTCTATGTTTATATTGTATAGCAACAGGTCTTCATCATATTCATAGAAATGAGTTAATTCATCGGGATTTACATATTGGTAATATATTAAAATTTCGTTCAGATATTTGTATAACTGACATGGGATTATGTAGACCAGCTAATTGTGAAAGTACAAAAGATAATACTTATGGTGTTTTACCTTACATGGCCCCTGAAATTTTGCGAGGACAAAATTATAACAAAGCTGCTGATATTTATAGTTTTGGTATAATTATGTATGAAGTAATTTCTGGATTAAGCCCATTTCATGATAAAAGTCAGGATGAAGCATTAGCTATAAAGATTTGTCAAGGACTCAGACCAAGTTTTAATATTAAAGTTCCTCAATTAATTATGCATACAATTAAAAGATGTTTAGATGCAAATCCTTTAACTCGACCAAATGCTCATGAATTAAAGTCTACTATAGAAAAATGGAATGAAAATAACGCAGAATTAAATGAGCAAATTATAGAAGCAGAAGAAATAAATAATAATTTACCGATCAATACAATAATTTCGATTAGTTTAACTTCATCACATAAAATGAACACACATTCCGAAGCTATTTACACAAGTAGATTACTTAATTTTAATAATCTTCCTGAACCAAAAAATTCAGAGGATTATTATAACCAATATGAAAATATATCAGCAGGTATCTAATAATTCTATAAGTTTAGTAAATATTTTGCTAATGATAAAATATACTAACAATTTTATTTCGTTTATAATAGATTTACAAATTAATATTACTTAATCATACTATTGATCGCAACAGGTCATTACTCTTATTTTTACAAATTTTTTTAGATAGGCGTTTATTTTTATGTACTATATAAAAATTTAATTTATTTGCCTATGGTTTAGGTCATTAAATTTTTCTATTTTTCATTTTTTTTTAAATAAAAAAAAATCGCAAAGTCTGCAGTTGAGCGGCTTGATTCATTTTGACTCGGTTTAATAATTTAGGATTCAATATTTCAATATTTTCTAATATGAACTAAGTTGCCTACTTAATAATTGTAATTGTAATTGAAATTTGATATACGGGATATTCAATAAACACTCAAACCCTAAACCGGATATATTTGCCGGTATAGTGTCGATATTCGCTACGGGTAAATTTAAGTATTATTTCTGAAGCTGCACCCAAAGTGATTCATTCTTAAAAGCCAAAAACTTTTTTCTGAAAAATTTTTATAACCACTTTAAGTCTTACTCTAAACAAATAATTTTGTCAATTAAATTCATTAGTTTATTTTTCCTTTATTTTAAGTTAAAGAGATTTGGAATCAGCTCGAGATCTATCTAAATGTTTTTTTATAGTATCGATTATTCGATCCATTATTATGGAAATATTACCTCAATAGGACGATTTCTGTGTTATTTTAAAATTGAACTTTTTCAATCAAAATATTAAATTTAATAGGCAAACATTCTTTTATGTACGAAACATTCAAATTAGATCATAGCATAAAAAATCACTGAAATATTATACACAAGTACTATGAATATCCAATAATTACTAATATTTAAATTTTGGTACAGTTTATTCATTTAATAAATTTATTTATAATAATTTAGAAAATTTAAAGTAACCAAATGAAAATTTAAAGTTATTTTAGTTATGGAATATGCAAATGATGGTTTCTTTTTGAAACTATACATCTAAACTCAGAACTATTACGAAATTTGATGATTATATACTGTATATAGCGTAAACTATCTTTTTGCTATATCAAATGTACAATTTTTTGCTTTATTCTATTTATGAATTTTATGATATATAAATGTTTTAGTAATTTAAGTGTTTATCAATCATGAAAAAACGCAATCATGTCTGACGCGAGTACAATGTAAACAACTTTTTTACGATACTAAACATACGATTTTTTACATATACGGTATGATTTTTACAATTATAGTATTTGTGTATTTGCAATTTTGCATGCAAAACATTAATTTTTACTCGATTTTTAATATAATATCTTGGATGGATCAATGATTAAAGAAAACTTTTACTTTACTTTGATAAACAAAACTTGGTATATCAGTTATTATAAAGAGTATGTTAATTGTAATACATATTACTTTAAATAGTAAATATCAAAACATTAGTTATAATAATCAAAGTATGGAACTAATTAAGATATTTATTAATACTAGTTCCATTTCCGACTTCATAACGATAACAATATGCTAAGTTATTTATTCCACTTAAAATACCAAAATCTCCAGCCTTTTGATACAATTCAAATGCTTTTTGTTTATCAACATAAGTTCCAGCTCCAACTTCATAACAATTTGACTAAACTACTAATTCCAAATGCATTTCTAATTTTGCAGCCTTTTGATATATCTCATATGACTTTTCTTTATCAACATTTACTTCAATTCCTAAATTAAGAAAATCTCCTAGTAAAAGAACAGAATTTAAATTAGTCTGATTATATAATAACCAATTATAAATTTGTCGTGGAGTAATGTCATGATCATTAAGGTAATCAAGAACTTCTTCCTTTCCAGTTTCTTGTTCTAAATTATCAATAAGAGCAACTAAATCATCAACTACTATTTGAAAATCATTCTCATACAATGATATTGATGGTTCTATTTCTTTTATACTTATTTTATTAACATTTTAAATAAGTTCATGTAATGAATTATTAAGTGGTTGTTTACTTGACAATTTATTTAAAATTATTACATTTAATTTAGCAATAACATCACTAATAATCGAACGATTATCTGGTTCATGATTCCAACAATCTGAAAAAATATAATAAAGTACATATATAAATAATTAATAAATAAAATAAATAATTCAAATTATATTTACCAATATAAATTTTTACATAATCTATAGGAGTATTGGCGACGGGTTTTTCTCTAAGACCTTGTAAAATTTTCAAATCCAAACATGTATCAGATGATTCATTGTAAAAAGATGACTGACCACTAGATATTTCCCACAAGAATACACCAATGCTATAAATATTACTCTTTTTGTTCAATAAATATAATGGTATTTGGTGATTATTGATTCTTTTTTGTTCAAATAATTTTGGATCAATAATATAAGCAACCATGTCAAAGAAATTTGATTGAAGATTGGTTGATTCTTCAATTTTTTTTGATAATCCAAAATCTGTTAATTTGATAATCCCTTGATGAACTAATTCATTGTTTGAGTGCTATAATTAAATGTGAAAATTTAAAAAAAAGAATAATAAATTATACACTACTTAAGATATAATATAAATTAATTACCAAATTATGATGCACAATTTCTTTTTCATGTAAAGATGATACAGCACGAGCTAATTGAAGTGCAATATTTAACTTATTGTCCCAATTTAAACTATCAAAATGTTCTTTTGAATAGTTTCGTAGAGTACCATTATCAGCATATTCCATTACTAACCAATAATTTTTTGAATCATCATCTTGGTTTTCTACTAAAAAGATAAAAAAGAATAATATTATTAGAGGTAGTATGAAATAATATCTTTTTTTTTTCTTAAAAAAAGTCAATAACTAATAATTATCATACTTATAGTAATACCACAAAAACGAATAATATTTTCATGAAAATCCATTTCATATTGACGTTTAAGCTTAATCATGAATAATAAGAATTTTTAAATTAGGCAACGCAATATATCATAAATATAAAAATTAATATTGTAAATAACAGTATAAAAATGATTACTTCATTAACGATTTCTTTGGTTGTGACATTATTGATTAGAAAAAGATTTTAACGCTAAATGATTTCGAGAATCTTTCCAGTTTGCACGATAAACTTTTTTAAAATTTCCGAAATCAATTTCTTGGATATTTCTGAAATGGTTGTATTCATAATATTTAAAATAATTTTTTGAAATAGCATCTTCAATCCAAATACCCGTTCGTCTGAATTTTCAGTGACTTTAATTTCAAAGTTATTAGACATTGTATAGCGCAAAAAAAAAAAAAATTTATAACGCCATCCCTTATAAACGTAATGTTACATATTCATTGAACACAAGACAGCAGATCGGCACTAATGTTACTTTCTTTGTCGAGCCGGAACTACACAAATAACATAATGAATTTTTAATGATCTAACTAGAAAAAAGAAAAAAAAATAAATGCGTGATATATAATGTTCTTAAATAATTTTCAAATTAATTATTTACCAAATATTATTCCTTTTAAAATTGAAATTTCTTCATTCTACCAGTGATTGTAAATCTCTGCATTTACCTATTATGAGAAAGAAAAATTATTAATAGTGTGCTAAATTTTTATTTAATCATAAAGAAGACATAGCCAATTCCTCCTTTAG